CGTGTTTAGATCACACTAAATGCGTTCTAATAGGGAGGGGGGTCTGGTGGTAGAGGGGTAGGGGGCGACTACGTGCATCAAGTGCACTCTGAGCAGGCACTAGGATGGGGCTGGCTACTATTAAACATTTGGCTTAACCGAGCCTGCCGACGGCGCCGAAGATGTGCTTTACAAATACACCTTATTATTTGGTTCCGGAACATTGCTATTAGGAATACTGGTATTCGGTAGGGTATTCCTAAGTTAAGTTAAAAGACTCAAAGAAGTTTGCAGACAAAGCAGGTCGACTATCAGCTTCGTTTGAGGGGTCACCATAGTTATTTTTTCTCATTTTTGCGTATATCAGCCTACGACATTCAGGAAACCCCGACATTTTGGAGTTATGTAACATTCTTTTGCGCATACATTTTAGCCCTCACAGAGATACTTCCAGTAAGGTAGCCCAAAATTTCAACGTCTTAAGATATTTTATACAGGAAAATCTTAAGTCAACCTTTTCTAATGAGTCCGAAATATAATAAATGAAGCATTACAAAATCTTGTTTTGTAATCAACTATTGTCCTCGCGCGTTTTTGAAATGAGCTGTTGATCCGGGAAAGTTTCGTGATGCCGCGAGAGTTGTCCAGAAGTCCAAGAAGCCGTAATGCCTGAATTTATCTTTTTATTTATTGGTGTAGGACGACGTCGTTCTAGGTCGAGGTCGCGCGAAAAGTATCGCGATTCAGCTTATCGCGAACGAGACATCGACGAATCTTATAAAGAAAAGCGACACAAAGATCGAGGTGTACGACGTGACGATGATCGACACCGTCGTGATTACGATTCACAGCGACGTCGAGACGAGTATCCGCGTCGTAGGCACCGTGAAAAGTCTGAGGAAGAGGACGAATACCCTGTGCGTAATGTTCGCGAGGACAGTCGAACGCCAGAACCCACTGAAAATACGTAACTACCTGTTTTTATGAGGTAATATTTTTAGTGAAGATGTGAGTGAAGTTCAACAAAAGGACGGTAAGTTGTTTATCTACTAATTTCTGTCGCGAAAAGAGGTCCCAAAAACAGAAGAGGAATTAGAAATGATGAAAGTGATGGGATTCACACACTTCGATTCCACAAAAGGAAAGCATGTACCTGGGAATGATATCTACGTCACTTGTATAAGAAAGAAGCGTAGATACCGTCAGTACATGAATCGCAGAGGTGGTTTCAATCGAAAACTAGACCCTGTTGCCTGAAAATTGGTTTTTGGTAAGTCAACGCAAATAGTTGGAGTACTAAATGTTTTTGTTCGTCATATTCGATTTAGTTGCCATGTTTGATCACTGCCACATAGTCTTTATTGTGCAACGTACGTTGAGATTGCCATATATGCAAAACCTCGGATACATCTAGAGGTTTTTTCCCCGTAGGCACACTAATTAGTCTTGACTATTTGTTAATACTAGGTAGTTTGCTGGATTTCTGTCTATTTATATAGAGCTCCAAACCTGTTTAAATGCAAATACTGGTAAAACCAGTTTATTTAGCTTTTATATTCTTCCATGTAAATGAACTCCCTCCCAACGGTTGAAAAATGAAGAATGCATAACCCACCCTCCTTCCAAAAATAGAGTGTAGGGACGACCGTAAAACCCAAAATACTAAATTTTAGGCTTACTGTAGAAAGTATGTTGATTAATGAACTGGAATACATTAAAGTCCCTTCTGTTTTATAATTCTGTCTAGTGCGATTCTAACGAATGAGTTGACAAACATTGTCTCATCCAGACTTTTCTCATATGGACGTTTTAAGAGTTCTGTTTAACGAAATGCCCTCTACTTGGCAGTTCAAATTTATTGCAATTTATCCTCGTGGATGTTTTGCTTAGAACATACAACGCCATCTGTTTCTTGTAACAGCGCATCTAGTTATGTTAAACCTCCATTCATTTGTATTTCTAGGAAAAGCTTGAAAGACCTGAGTGAACTTTTATCCCTTCAGATCTGACAGGCCTTTGAACCAAAAGCACCACTCTGACTTTCTCTTTTTGGTGAGTTGAGTCCCTTCCCTCAATATCAAGTTTGTATATTGCGTATCTTTCCATACTTTGTAAATAAACACATCACGCATGCGACTCCTTTCAGTGTAATTCAATCGTGCGCGTAGCGCAAACTATCATACGCAACCAACATATTCAAAAGGCAGTTTTTAGTGAATTGTCGCAGTTAGGTGGTAACCTAGCCTTTCCACAACTAGATTACCGGCGAAATACGACTACTGACTGTCTTACATTGGACTGAAGCCTCCTAATTCGGCGTTCTG